ATTTCAACCTTTTGTTGATTTTACAGTTGAAGCAAAAACTAATTGCCATCATCAGGAAACAGTTTTGTCTGAAAGGTTGAATCCTATACAACTGAAGCTTAACTTTTTACATTAAAGGCAAATTCACTCTGTATTAAATAACTGGAGACGGATGAAGAGAAGATGATACCGTGACATTGAAGGAATGATGCATAGGTGACTGGTGTAGATGCTGATTCCAACGCAAATGTCAGTAGATATTAAAAACTGTCAAATCTCATTTTGCATAGGAACAGAAATTGGATAATGTTACAATTGAATCACTAGAGGGTAACTATACAAATCCCATTCATATTAACAAACTTTTGGGATTTTGAATAAATTGGACACAGATTATATTGTGTAGTGATGGTTTTATAAAACAGTAGTATATGCTTTAACACCATCTGAAATTGAGTTTGGACGAAGCATTATATATCAGATTAATTGATGCAAGTCTGTCTACCATTGATCACGTTTTATATTAAATAAGTTGACAGACTTTTATCGTTATGTATATACAGTCAGCAAGTCTTTCAACCAAATTACTATTATAACTCACTTTGGCAATTGGCAGAAGTTGATTCCAGTGAACACAATTTATTCAAATCACAGTTGTGATGCCAGCGACATTTGACTGATGTTGTAGATAATTAGTGAGCGAAAGTCTGATTTGTATTAATATGATACATCGTCATAATACAGATAGTGTAGCATGAATGAATGTGACTCCGTGCACTCCTACGTGGTTCTTTATAGGTTGATGTATGTTAAACACACATAACACAACTGGGAAACAAGATAACAGTGAGAGTTTGGACTTTTTATTGACGTTTGAAGTGTTTAGTCACATACATTCCCTTATGTCTCGCTTTAAGTAATGATTAATGTTTCTAAGATGTATATGTAAAGTATTGTTTGATTACAATATACTCGATATCCAAAGGATGTCTTTATCTTCGATGTAACGTTATAATACAGAACTTAACAGTGGGTAGTGATCAGCAGTTGGTAATGTCACCATTGACAGTGGAGTAATAGTTTCCATAGTGAGGAAAGACTACACATAGTTGTTCACAGTGTTTCTGTTTGCAGAACCACATTTATTGTTCAACGAGGTTTTGTTGCAGACACGACATTTATTGTTCAGTGTTTCTGTTGCAGACACCCACATTAATTGCTTTACGAGTGTTTCTGATTGCAGAAACCAATTTATTGTCACGTGTTTCTGTTTGAGAGTTTTAAAGTCCAAACAGATAAAGCAGTTCAAATCTTTATTCTGGTTCCGCAATAAGGGGTCCCTGAAAGCCACGCAACACACATCTGCTCAAGTTCACGAGTTTAGAACGACACAGCGGAACCGATAAGACTGAACCGACGACGGTAACATCATCTTATTGATTATCGATTATTGGAATCGTTGTTGATTGTTATTGGGAGCAGGTTTATTAAAAGTGTCCTTTACGTATCAAACATACAGTTTTTCTCTGTGCACATGCGCGTACGTCATGATAAGTATGTAGTTACGGATTAATGGAAACTTGATTTAAAAGTCTGATTTTCTGTTTACAGGATGAATAGTGAATTAAACGCTTGCTGATTAATTGCTCAGTCCAATCGGATACTGCTTTATTCTTCGTTTTATTGTTCTTGTAAACCACTGATTGACAGAAGTCAAAGTCCACACTGACGAACTGGTTGGGTTAGAATAAACTTATAAATCTGTTTATAAAGTTATTAGTTATACTATACTTATAGTTAACATAAACATATAATTATATACTATATATAGTATAGGTAATACAATACCATAAAGTTTATAAGAGGTCTACATAAAGTTCTACATTGTCAAGTAAGTACTATGTCTTCCTGTTATTTAACTTTTTTTACTGCACTGTATGTATGAAACATGTTATTTATTATGATTGCAGTGAAATAAGTAAATATATAAACTAAATGAAATACTGTTATTAAAAGATACAATTAGTGTTTCAACCTCGAACGATTTGTCAGACAACTGACACGAAGTGTTGAGTACATAAGTTAATGGTTAATGTTATTTAATTTAGTCTGCAGCCTGGTTACAAAAATGAGCACTATAGCATCAATAATCAGCTTTATTGACGATATCTCAGCAGCTGATTGGTGATTGGGACAATTAAGAAGGTAAGTTAGATTTGATAAGTAGTTGATTTGGGGATTTTTTGAGGAGGCTAAATCAATTTTGACATGTATAAAATCAAGTAATATATTATTATTATTGTGAAATACTTTATATACAGTTTCGTTAGTATGGGCCACTGTTCCCAACATAGGGTTCGGGGCACTCAGAGTCCCATGGATCTGAAAGGCTGCAAGTGTCTCTCTTCTCTCGGTCTCTCTCTCTCTCTCTCTCTGTCTTTCTCTCTCTCTCTTCTCTCTCTCTCTGTTCTCTTCTTCTCTCTATCTCTCTCTTCTCTCTCTCTCTCTCTTCTGTCTGTCTTCTGCTCTATCTCTCCTCTCTGTCTCTCTCTCTCTTCCTCTTCTCTCGTCTCCTCCTCCCTGTCTCTCTCGCTCTCCATCTCAGTCTCTCTCTCTCTCTCTGTCTGTCTGTCTTCTCTCTCTTCTGTCTTTCGATCTCCTCATCCCTCTCCCTTTCCTTCGTCCGTCTCTCGTTCTCTCTCTCTCCTCTCTCTCATTCTCTGTCTGCTCTGTCCTCTCTCTCTCTCTCTCTCTCTCTCTCTCTCTCTCGTCTCTC